AAGAAAAGACGGCTTTTTCTACAGGAAACGGACTATACCAATTCAAGGTCATGTCGTTTGGATTATGCAATGCTCTAGCCACTTTCGAACGTCTCATGGAGGTGGTGTTAAGAGGATTAACTTGGAAAACGTGCTTGGTTTACCTCGACGATGTATTGGTTATGGGAAGAACTTTTGAGGAGCATTTGCGAAATTTAGAAGAAGTCTTCGGCCGCATACGGAATGCTCACCTGTACTTGAACCCGAAGAAGTGTAGCTTATTCCAGCGACAAGTGGAATTTTTCGGCCATGTAGTCTCAGCAGACGGAATTTACACCGACCAGAAGAAAATCGCTGCAATCAAGGATTGGCATAAACCTCGCGACAAACATGAACTTAGAAGTTTTCTGGGTTTATGCACCTATTACAGAAGATTTGTCAAGGGATTTGCCAATATAGCTGCACCCTTACATAGACTTACAGGTGATGAAGTCGGCTACGAATGGAACACCGATTGTGATGTAGCCTTTGGAAGACTTAAGGCGGCTTTATGTTCAAGTCCTATTCTAGCCTACCCGCAACAACAAGGGAGGTATATCCTGGATACCGACGCCAGCAATATCGGCATAGGTGCAGTGCTATCACAAGTGCAAGATGGCGAAGAACGAGTGATAGAATATTACAGTCGAGTTCTATCCAAACCAGAAAGGAATTACTGCGTTACCCGGAAGGAGCTGCTAGCAATTGTGAAGGCAGTTGATCATTTTCATAAATATCTGTACGGCCAAGAATTTTTAATTAGGACAGATCATGCGGCTCTCAAGTGGCTTATGGAGATGAAACAACCTGAAGGTCAAATAGCACGATGGCTCGAGAAGCTCCAACAGTATCACTTTACCATCCAACATCGTGCTGGAAAAATGCATGGTAACGCAGACGGTTTATCCAGAAGACCCTGTCAAACCGATTGTAAGCACTGCTGTAAAACGGAACAACGTGAAGGCACTGTCATGATAAGGAGTTTTAAACTTGGAACCGATGAACAGTGGACGACGACACAATTGAGGAAAGATCAAATGGAAGATCCAGACATCGGAGCAATACTACGGCTCAAGGAAGGTAACGGCGAGAGACCACCGTGGCAGGATATTGCGGACAGAGGGCTCGTTTTCAAAGCTCTCTGGGCTCAGTGGAATTCACTGGTTATTGAGAATGGATTGTTAAAGCGCACATGGGAAAGTGCGGATGGCAGCACAGTAACAACTCAGTTACTGGTACCAAGGAAGAAAGTTACCCAGGTATTGGAAGAAATTCACGGTGGTAAAACTGGAGCCCATCTTGGGGTAAACAAGACCTTGAGCAAGCTGAGAGATCGCTTTTACTGGGTGGATTATTGCGAAGATGTCAAGAAATGGTGTCGACAATGTAAAATTTGTGCAGCCAGCCAAGGACCAAGCACTCGATCTAGGGGAAAAATGAAACAATATAACGTTGGACTGCCATTCGAAAGAATCGCTGTTGACATTGCAGGCCCATTCCCTGAAACGCACAAGGGCAACAAGTACGTTTTAGTGGCGATGGATTATTTCAGTAAATGGCCAGAAGTTTTTGCCATTCCAAACCAAGAAGCATCGATGTAGCTGAAGTATTGGTCAATAATGTCTTCAGTAGATTTGGAATTCCCTTAGAGCTTCACACTGACCAAGGAAGGAACTTCGAGTCAAGACTGTTCCAGAAGATGTGTGATCTGCTTGGTATTCACAAGACTAGGACAACAGCTTTACATCCGCAGTCTGATGGGATGGTCGAAAGATTCAATAAGACCATTGAAGAACACCTCTCGAAAATGGTGGCCGAACATCAAAGAGATTGGGATCAACACATACCGCTGTTCCTAATGGCGTATAGAAGTGCAGTTCACAACACCACCGGACTTTCACCATCGAAGATTTTATTTGGTCGAGAATTACGGTTGCCTTGTGACTTGGTGTTCGGATCACCAGACGACGGCACCACAAATGTAGAGGACTACGCGGATGAACTGAAGGAAAGGTTAATGGAAATTCATAAGGCCGTAAGAAGTAAGATTACGCTAGCCAGTGACCGGATGAAAGCTCGTTACGACCTCAGAGCCAATTCTACGGGATTTCAACAGGACGATATGGTATGGTTATATAACCCACAGCGCAAGAAAGGGAGGTCCCCAAAGTTAACTCCAGCATGGGAAGGTCCTTATACAGTCATCAAGAGGATAAATGATGTTGTGTACCGGATTCAACGCAGCCCTAGAAGTAAGATGAAAGTAGTTCATCTGGATCGATTGAAGAGATACCAGACAGGAAACCTTGATCGGGACGATCAAATTTGAGAAGGGGGCAATGTCAAGGTGTATTACTGGTTGCATAACTGCATACTGCTAAACAATCTCAACGTGCATTGAGGAACCTGGCGCATTCGCCAGAAAGTAAAGAAAATTATAGAATTCTTTAGAAAAATCTAGAAACAACCGCCAGGGGGTATATAAGGCCCGCGCTTTGACAGTTGGACAAGTTTGAAGTTTGAAGTCTAAAGTTTGAAAATACCGCGAAATACCGTTAGAGTAATAGTAGTTGCATAAGTTGTGTTGTAAATAGTATAAGTTGTGTGTACAGAGTGAAACAAATAAATTCGTTAAGTATTTTATCGTGAGTTTAAATAGTGGAGCCACGGAATCCGTAACACTATAATAACAAATTTCTTCTGTTTGCCACGTTATTTAGGTGTATAGACCTCGTTAGATTTTAAAGAGTGACACAGGTACAATTAATATTATCATACTCGGTATAAAAGTTGCTGTCACGACATTGTACAATAAATTAAAATTCGTAAAATAAATTAAAATTATTAATTAAACAAATCTTTATAAAGAAACGCAAGTATACCAAATTTGAGCCCAATCGCAATCCAGGAAATGATATCATAATATTGTACTATATTATGGTACCACTCGATATGCCTCAAGGTACCATAATATTGCAATGTCACTGGAGATCCGTAGTATACCAAGTTTTTAAACCCAATCGAACACCAGGAAATGGTATCGTAATATGGTACTACATTATGGTACCTCTTATTGATATGCTTCATGGTACCATAATATTGCAATGTCATCAAACATACGCAAGTATATATCAAATACGAACCGAATCGAACGTCAGGAAGTGGTATTATAATGTAGTACTATAGAAGGTACCACTTTATATGCTCCATGGTACCATAATATTACAATGTCACCGAAGATACGTAGTATACCAAGTTTAAGCCCAATCGAACGCCATGTACGTAATATGGTACTATATTATGGTACCACTTGATATGGTTCTTGGTATCATAATATTGCAATGTCATCAAAAATACGAAATTATATGTCAAATATGAGCTCAATCGAACGTCAGGAAGTGGTATCATAATATGGTACTATTGAAGGTACCACTTTACATGCATCATAGTACCATCATATTACAATGTCACCGAATATACGTAGTCTACCAAGTTTAAGCCCAATCGAACGCCATGTACATTGTACATATGTAGTATGGTACTATATTATGGTACCACTTGATATGCTTTAAGGTACCATAATATTGCAATGTCATCAAAAATACACAAGTATATGTCAAATATGAGCCCAATCGAACATCAGGAAGTGGTAACATAATATGGTACTATAGAAGGTACCAGTTTATATGCTCTATGGTACCATAAAATTACAATGTCACCGAAGATACGTAGTATACCAAGTTTAAGCCCTATCGACCGCCATGTATCTAATATGGTGCTATATTTGGTATGGTACCACTTGATATGCTTCATGGCTTCATGGTACCATAATATTGCAATGTCATCAAAATTAAGCAAGTATATATCAAATATGAGCCCAATCGAACGTCAGAAAGTGGTGTATTATATATGGTACTATAGAAGCCATGCACCCACTTTATATGCGCTCCATGATACCACATCAGAAATGTTACTAAAGATAAGTAGAATACCAAGTTTATATAAGCTCAATCGAACGTCATGTATCGTAATATGAATTATATTATTATGTACCATTTCCCATATAAATTTACATATAAAATGACAGTAGCAGCAATAATAACCGAACTAAAGTGTTACCAA